AATTTTCACATTGAAAATTTTTGTTATCAATGATTTAAATATCTTAGTTCTTTTTTTTTTTATATTTTTAAAAGATATTAACAATCGATGATATGGTTATTTTTGGTATATACCATACAAACCGAATGGATGTGATTTTACAAAAGCCATAGGATTTGGATATGGTTTGATTTATAACCGATTAAACTGAAACATGTAAATATGTATATATTTACAACGACGCATGAATATCTATTTGTTACATGAGTTGAACTATAATTATAATTTGTAAATAGCTAACAATTTATTACAATTTAGACTTCTTATTTTGATCTTTTGTTTTTCAACAGTAACTAAATTGAAGTAAAGATTATAATTTTGATGGACAACAATTAGTTGAAATTCTTTACAACTTTTTTTATCTTTAAACAAACAGAGTTGTGTTCAATCGAAGATATATTGGTTTGATGAACACTAAATATGGAAGAATATAAAAACTTTTCTTTCATGCTTCTGTTTTTTTTTTATTTTTTTTCAAAATTTAGTGTTTTGATATTAATTCTAGATTTGATCATTTTATTAGAAGATAAAAGCCTTTTTTGTTTTTTTATTCTTTTATTTAAATATAGAATATTTTTTTAAATAAATGACTCTGCCACAATATGACTCTAAATATGATCATATTATATATTTGTATAATATATAATATGATCTCAAACTAAATAATCATGTTTTTGGTATAAAATTGAATAAACTGAAAACCGATGGTATATAAACTAAATCAAACTGAAGTACATATAGATTTAGAATAGTAGTTATATTTTAATAATCAAAATACCAAAAAATCGAGCTGAACCAAAACCCGATATCCGGATTGAACACCTCTAATCCGAATGAAACCGAACTATTGTTTCATTTTTCAAAACATAATAAAAAACATTAGCTTCATCCCGCGCAAGGCGCGGGTCTTATCCTAGTTAGCATATAATAAGTAATTTTTTGTCTTATACTAAAATGTCAAAAGCTGTGCGCAGATTTATACAACTAATCAACAATATTGATGTGACAGTACCGCAGCGAGGGCGGTGACAAAGCAGTCGCGGCATTTGGGCCCGTAGGAGTCTCCACGGCACTGGAGGACCGCGGATAATGTATTAGAGCCGAACAGGGTGTAACCTTGTCTAAGGCTACTGTCCACATAGAACCTTTTCGTGTTAGATATTAAAAGTTCCTCGTACTTACTTCCCGGCTTGTATTTTCCTTGACTATCCAAGCATTTGTGGTTGAGATACTCATTGGTCGTGTTTAAAGACAATTCACTTCTTATAAAGAGAAGTCGTATGGCCAAGACATGGATCAAAAGGAGGCGTTTTGATACAGACAATGAAGAGTACATTGTTTTGGATTATTTTTCTTTAAGAGGTTTTTTTCTTGATTATTAGTTGGGACTGATGTTAATGTACGGGAGTCATAGGGATTTGGATACTGAAGAGATTTATGATTTTTATATATATTGTATATTGGTTTTGGTTACACTATGTAAGGAGAGGAGAGAAGAGTTGCAGGTTGAAACTAATTTGCGGCGACAAGAGGGCCGACGAAAGTGTAAAAGTTCAGAGGTGTGACTTAAGTTCACACAATTCGTGCGGTGCAAACCTGAAATGAAGGAATTCATTTCTTAATTTATTACGACCAGATTCTTGTTCTTAGGGAACGTAAGATAAGATTCGAACACATAGATGTAGTTCTATACTATTAACATATTGATCTTTCCAAACTGTCTAGAGAAATTGCACTACGTACATACACATCGAATAAACTCTAAATAAGGATATGGAAAGATACTGATATAATTATAAAAATCAGACTAAAGCCTTACTTCTAGGTCTGCACATAAACTGACCACTACAAGAAAATGATGTAAACTCCGACTAAAATTTCCGAGAATCTCTGTTGTCGGAGACTTAGTGACGGACTTCAGAGAATTTACCGACAATAAACGAATTTTTCGGAATCTGATCGGGAAGTTCCGATATAAAGAGTTTGTCACAATTTTATCGGAAAATATTTCTCAGAACTTTCTTGGAAAAATTTTATTTACCGACAAGAATATTTTTTCGTCGGGAAGATGCATAAAATGGACACAAATTTATCGGAACCACGTACTATTTTAAGTTTTATTTACTTTATTATTAATTTTATCAGTTAATTATTACGAAGATATTTTTCGTAATTATATCGATCCCCTTACTCTGTAAGACGTTCCTGAAGAATTATCTTATCGAATCCACCAAATACAGTACTCAGATTCAGAGAGATAGAGAGCAACGCTAGTTTTAGGACTCGTTTTTCCTTTGATGATATCTTATGGGCTTGTTCGTTTCTAAGTTTTAAGCTTGAGTAATTGTGCATTGCTATGATTACACGCTTGTTCTTTATCAACTCTTTCGAATTTAAGTTATCCAAAGGTTAGGTCATATGAGCGCATCTTGAACTTGTTAAATTACCAAAGTTTGAGTTTTTAGTAGGTGATCAAATTTATGTATCTGCTCGGTTTGTATTTCCACCACTCTACTATTTATCTATATGAATGGCTTCTCTCGACTGGAGAAACTATTTTTCTTGATTAACTTCGTTCTTTGTTAACCAGTGTGATCTCAACTAAATAGTTTATGTGTTCTTCCCCTTTCTGTGCAGGCTCTTTATTTTTGTGTCCCATTTTGTGAACAATTGCTGGAATACTCTAACCTGTAATAAATTCATCGTTGATGCTGAAGAGAATCTTATGACTTGTCTAGTAGACTTATTTTCTCAGGTATATTAGACTTGGCTTTCCTCTTTGTTAGGTTATCAATGGTAGTCAATGTCATTGCTTCAATCCAGTCTTAACTCATGTGATAAATCTTCATTATATCTTTATTCCAGCTTGTTTACTTAATTTCTCACTTGACCTCAGTAATGGAGCAAACCAAATGTTCCAAGGCATAAGTTAATAATTAACTTACAATTGTTACTTATCTATTCAAATGTATACTTCTGTTTGTCTGGTGTTACTATTGTGTCTTTTGTCAGGTATATGCTATAATGTACTCTTCTTGTTCCTGCTGTTTTTCATATTAAGATTTGTCATTTTCTATTGCCTATCATGTTAACCTTGTCTTGGAACTTTGTCTTTCCGCACAACTGCAAAACCAACTGAAAATTCACGTATGGTATAAATGTTTCTTTATCTGCTTCAAGTGCTCACATGGAGGCTGCCCAATCTCACCTTCAAACTACACGGCTCGTGAATGAATCTTGTGCAGCATGCACCTTTTCGCTCAGCTGTTCAAAGTAAAAAGAAGCTAGCCACTTGATCATCTGCTTCCATCAGGATTAACTTTGTATACAAAAACTCTTTTTGGCTATTATGTCATAATCCGGATGAACTATGGAATTTCTGATGATTAAATTTCATAACTATCCGGTAATTAAATTGCCATCTCCCCGTATTATGTATCTGAAAATGTAATCATTAACAGTTTTATTTGGAACTACCAATATTAGAAATCTTGATTAACAAAATGATATGCTGGTTATTGGCTTGCATAATACGTATAAACATAAAACATATAATAATATGTATAAATAATTTGTATATATAATTAATGTTCATTTTGTGCAAGCGCAGATCTCAAATATTATTTGATCATACTATTTTGAAAATATCATTTTTCATATCTGTCATATCAAAGTGAGATGGTGAATAATAACATACGGATGATGATATCATTGAAACCCAATGTAAATTAAATAAGTTAAGATCAACAAACATGACTTAACTCATCAGTCTTATATTGACAGTCCATAACTCTACGTCTAGTAACTTATAACATGATGGTTGAACAATAAAAATTAGTATTCAATGATTATTAATATATAAATTTTACTCTCTGCATATGCGCGGTTAATCACCTAATGATTTTGAATTTTTCTGAAAGGAAGTATATGTCGATTCGTTGACACAGTTATAATCATGAAGGAGACACGGGTTTTGGGGAAAAAAGAAAAAAAAACGTGCATTACACGCCCTGAATTTCGCGATCTCACCTCTGTGGAGTCGTAGCCGGCAGGCCCTTCTTCATCCAAACGGACCTCCCGCGTCCTCTTCGCTTCCACTCTACATGGTTTCTCATCCATGTCTACGGTCTACGAAGCTTCGCCACGTCATACCGTGACCATACGTAGACACGGATGACGGATTTTCTTTGTAACCAACAACAACTCCGGATCCTCGATGTCGCTATCTTAGACGATGGTCCTCAGATCTGACTCCCGTCTCTTAATCATCTACTGTCTGGTGAAGAAGAACCTAAAATCCAATTTAATCCCAACAATCATAGCTAGCTGACGTCAAGTGGCAGAGGAGAGTCAAAATCCTTCTCCAAAGCGCTCGCTGCTAGATGTAATTGACGGGAACACTTTACCCAGGGATAATTGTGACATAGCCACGATTAGTCACGAAAAAAATAGTTGCTAGTCTGGAAAAGACATAGGTCAAAATCGGTCACGACAGAGTCAATGGCTAAAATTTCCAGAAAAAGCATACAAAAACCTATATACTTTCTACGGAGATACGAAGTTACGGAAAACCCGTACCAAAGTATGAAAAAAAAAGATCTCCTTGTTTTTCGGGTCAAAAACGGTAAACTCGAAATCAACATCTACGATTACTTCTCCTTATATTCTCTGAAAGGATCTCGGGTCGAGAAAACGAGAAAGAATCCAAAACCGAAAAACCGACCAGCTCACCGGTTGGCAAGCTGAACTGACCCGTCCAGCTCGCCAACCGGCGAGCTGGCCGTTGTTGACCATTTCGTCGTCTTGTCGAGCTGAACCAAACCGTCCATGCCCCTCGACTCGATTGTACTCTGAACCGTGATCGGAACATCTCTCGTTTCGTCTTGATCCGTTTTACCGTTGGAGTTTTACGATAAAAACCAAAAAAGTTTGTTATCTTGTAAAACCTCGAGTAAATCGTATAAAACGGCAACGGTTAAACAAAACACTGGACATTTACAAACTATACGATTAGCTCGATATATTTAAAAAAAAAACCCGCTAAAGACTTGTTTTCTCGTAAAAACCTCTAGTAAATCGTATAAAACGGATACGGTTAAACGAAACACCAGACATTGCCAAACTATAAGATTGACTCGAGATATTTATGAAAACGGCATCGTATCATGGAACGATCTCGTCTAAAATCGTTAAACGACTAAATCGCTAAACGGCTCGAAAAGTCATAAAATGCGAGAAAGGCCCACTCACGACTTTAGACAAGATCCAGCCCAAAGATATAATGACGGTTTACTCATTATTCGCAGGAAAGGGTAAATGTCAAGTTTGAAGACAAAATAGAAGTTTTCCAAAGAAAAAGGGAAAAATCGAAATAAATAGAAGATTTCCGATAAGCGCGAATCAGGGCGGAAAAGGAAAGACCAACCGCCAAAAGAAGGAGTATATAAGCATAAGGTCAAAGTCAAGAGGAGGCAGAACTTTTACAACTCTTTTAGATTTAGAACTCTCTGCACTTAGAAACTTAGGCTTTATTCTCGACAAGTTCGGTTTCTATGACTGGAATTCAATTACTAGACGAACTTGCCCAGGGAATTCGATCTCTTGTCCATATCTATCAATTGAACTACGTTCGGTTTGATCCCCGAAATAGGTATGTAGACAACATTTCATAAGGTTTAGTCTGAAATCAATCAAAACCTTTTTTCTTATTTTCTTCGTCTTTTGTTATCGAGCTGCGATTCAACTAAGTTTAGGGTTTTATGTTGCTAGAACTAGGTAACTCGCTGACGGCCCCTGCGGCCAAAGCCTTTATAATCTCTTGTAATGATCGCAACGCTCTTACGTGAAATCGAAATAAGATCTACTTTCTTTAAAAATTCATTTTATCATGTTTTTCATACTTTTCGCATTTATTTGGTTACTTGTCGTTGGCTCTCGCAGAGATCCGGATCCTGTGGAAAATTAGTTGAGTCGTCTTCTTCATTTGTTCTTTGGCTATTTTCCGGGGAAGTGTATGGGACACTGATCAGAGAAATCTCATGTGCATGTGCTCAAGGTCTCTCTGAGATTCTGAGATTGTAACTCTTTCATATCAAAGGTGTTTCGATAGCTTTGTGCCTTACTAGATTCTCTCTACTTGTGGATACCTTGTGTTTCTTTTAAGTTATCAGATTATGTTGGTGTGGGAACCAAAATTCACACTTGTCGATTTCCGTTAAATAAGGAAACTTAGGAAACCCTAATTTTCCAGAGGAACCGGATCTCTGCGAAAGCCAACGACAAGTAACCAAATAAATGCGGAAAAATATGAAAAATGTAATAAAACGAATTTAAAGA